ATATTGCATTGTTTATACAAATCCTGCCGAAAGCTTTTGGTATACATTTGCAGTTTTCTATCTGCTCCTCCTCCTCCTTCTCCTCGCCGTCACCATATTGTATTAGTCCACGTGACAAAGATCATTCCCAAATCCTTTGATGATGTCCATGACTATGCTATATGTTGCCAATAAGCCTCTGTCACATCATTCCATCTGATCTTTCATCCCTATAATTATTTCCTATTGAGCATCAGTCAAGCAACCTTTTACTCCACCTGTTATTTTTCTTCTTGCTCTATATCTTGCCCTCCTGCATATTTTTTTTGTTTAAGAGAGAAATGGAAAGAGACATATGAATGTTTGAAAATTCATCTTTGAAAACATTTGAAAATGACTACAAATATTTCATTGTTCCTTGATTCATGTTGATCCCTTTGGTTTTTTTCTCTGTTTCCGAGAACTCTACTGTTTGTAGCTCAGAAGAGTTATTCTACTAAATAGCCACAACAGGTTTGCCGATGACATTATAGATGGAGCGATATTACAACGAAGATGTTTGCAAACTGGGCATATATAATTGACACTTTGCATAGATGTGGAAAACGCCTTCTGAGAGTGGTTAGACAATATTAATAAGATTGGGCTAAGGTTATGAACAAAGGAATTTTAACCAAACCAGTATATAAATTATATATATATATGTGTGCGTGTGTGTGTATGTGTGTGTGTGAGAGAGAGAGACAGTGTGTGTGTGTTTGTATGTGTATATATATATTGATAAAATTAGTGATTACATATATATATATATATATATATATATATATATATATATTTTCAAGAACCCTATGTCAAAGACAGACCAAGAATATGATATAAAAGGCTCAAACACTAATATTTCATGGTTATAATTTATTACATTAGAATCGTAATCACAATCCAATTCATCAGGCCTACAAATTCAAAATTTTGAATTTTTTTGATGAATTGATCTCTGATTCCAATGTAATAAATTATAACCATGAAATATTAGTGTTTGAGTTTTTATATGATATATATATATATATATATATATATATATATATATATATATATATATATATAAAGGTTGAGATGGAGACATCGTCTTCTGAATTACGCAAAATGAAAATAACATAATCGTCCCATTTTAATGAATATATTAACCAAGTTACACAAAATATTTTGAAATAGTAAAGAACAAATTTATTCAATAAAACCGCCATTGCTTTCAACTACGGCTTACAGACGACTTCGGAATTTTCTGCAACTCTTTTGGACGGTCTCCTTGTTTAAGTTGGTGAATGCTGCCATAATTATTGCCTTTAATTCATCTTTGGTGTTACAAGGAATTTTGTAGGCCACTCTCTCAACTGCACCCTACACATAATAATCAATGAGGTTGCAGTCTGAGGAGTTAGGTGGCCAGAATGTAAGGGATGATGTGATTGCAGAAATTGTCTGACAGCCATTACTGGTTTCTCCTGCTCGTGCGGCATGGTACAGAGTCCTGTTGCAAAACATATGGTCTTCCTCTTGACACGGGGCAACACCGCCTCCTCAACGACTCTATGTTGAGGATTTTTCTAATCAGAACAATCACAGTGATTTTTCCGAGCAGCCGTACCTTCGTAATCACCATTAAACTCATCCAACTCTTTCCAAATCCTGTGCGCTGTCCTCAGATTGACATCCAAACGCTCTGAAATGTTCGTATTGGAGCTACCGATGCAAATGCCAAGCAGTACGGCATGCAGTTTCTAAATTTCTGGCGGAGTAAATTGCATCATGATGCTACTTTTCTCACAGACGGTGCCCAACTGACCCTCCTATACCGTGCAATCGAGAAATTAAAAAAAAAACAAACAACGCGCATGAGCGAAATTAAAAATATAAATGGCGACAATTTGCCCATCGAACCGTGTATTTTAATCATTTCACCCCAACAAAGGCCGTAAAGCCACAATGACTGCTAGAGAATATTTGAGAAAATATTAGAAGAAGAGAGAACAAGAAAAGAACAAGAATTAAAAAGAGAGAAGATAACTGTTAAGGGGTCCACCCCTTTTTCATACAAGTGGACTCGCCCAGTGTGAACTTGTACTGCTGCCGGTGAATACCCGAGAGTGATAGAGTAAAAACAGTGAGAGAGTGAGAGTGTGAGGTAACCGCTTTGTAGGAGTCACAGTTGCGAGCACGTAGACTCAGAAGGAAGTCCTACTTTGATACTAAATTTCCCAGACTGTATATATATTATTATTGTTACTATCCGCATTTCTGGATCTACTAACCGTATTACCAATTGTATTATAACGTCAATACATTTATTTGCTATATTTCATTCCTGCGTTTGTCATTCATTTGAGACCGGATTTCATCCCGGAATCTACAACAATAACGATGGACATTGCATTTAAATTCTTAAAGATCAAAGTTGACTGGAAAGCAAGAAGCCGTAAAAGAGTTCCACAAATGAGAAATGCGAGAGAAAAAACTGTTAACATAGAATTTATGGTTACATCTTGTCATTTCACCTGTAAAATGATGAGACTTTGCAGCCAATCTAGTATAGTAATTTTATATGCACTTATGTGTGTATGCGTGTGTGTTTGTGTGTGTGCGTGGTTAAGTTTATCTTCTGTTTATTCCGTTGTCGAAAATTAAGTTGATATTACGTTATTAACACTAATTCTATATCCAACTGTTATTTCAATAACCGATTTTCTTATATTCATGTTGTCAAATCATATCTCGTGAGTTGTTATACTTTACGTTGGTAATTCCTTATAACCAAAATATGTTTGCTTTTTCGATTTTTTTTCTGAATATATTGTATTTGTTTAATCGTTAATTTGTTTTTGATGCACTTATATCTTTTACTCAACAGAAAGAACTGATGAGTTTCCTCCATAAGTGACATAGTCACAATATTATGAATGTCGATGGCTGATTCGCAAATCTCCTAGGAGATCTCGTATTTCACGTTTGGCACACAGTATACAAACCATTTTATATACGTTTGACTGAGTATTAGGGCAATGACGTCAACACTAGTAGTAGGCGTCGAGTCGTAATACAATTATCCAGCAGTAAAAAAAAATGAAGAAAGTTTCCCTCAGAGTTAAGACAATTTGTATTAAAAAAAAATTACAACACTGACACAAGGTTGCATATTTCGGGAAACTCACTGTCAATTCATCAGCCTTTTTATAATTTCATAACCATCCAGTTATTCCTTGCACATACTGCAAGGGAATAAAGTGTGTCTCCTTTTGTATCCAAATGCGTGGAAGGATGCATTTCAAACTTGGAATGTAATTATTAAACAGAAGTTAAAGTTACATTGCGATCCTGTACACAAAATTAGAGAAACCTTTGAAGTATAATTCACGCTTACTAAATTCATTATTCAGTCAAATGTAGTACAAGAAACTCACAATCAACACTGTCCTCCTGATTACTCTCTTCTCTTTCCTAGCATTAGTAATGTTTCTGTTCCTAATTCTTCCACACCCTGTAACTCCTTGTGTCTTAGTGGCTTTATTGACTTGCTTGGGATGAAAGCCATTAAAATAAAGAGCGTGAATATGAAATACAAATATCAACAGGTGGTGTGTTCTTTTCACTTGTCCCATTGAGGCCGTTATTTGTCTTGTAATACTGCTCAACGGTTCCTAAATAATCAAAAGAGCAAAATATTGCTCGAAGTATTGTGCCAAAATCGGAATCGTTCTTTTATGACGTAATACATGGTTTGACGTAAAACCATAGAAATTCAGTAATTCCTTTGATAACTGAATAATGATGCCATAAGTTTATAAGAACAAATGACTTTGTTAACAGAATTCAGGAAAGGGGTATAAATGTGTCGCTAATATTTTATCTGAAGAGGAAAATGTTTTCATTATTTTGCTGCCTGGGGAACTGTATAATGCAGCGTTAGAATTTAAAAACTTGAAAAAAAATCGACTCGAATTTTGATTACTGAACTGCCTCCAAACTTAACAATAAAGAACGGAACAAATACTCAGAGAACTTAAAATTATTACTCTTTCGAACTTGCACAAGGCCTAAAAGCCACTCGATGTAGTTACAGAGTAAGAGGTACAGTTTATAGGGATATATGGAGAAGACAATGGTTAACCCTAAACTTGAGCAGATTAAGAGTATAGCGATCAGAGAAGCGTCGCCAGCATCACAAAGCATCAGTTCGTGTAAAGGAGCTGCTCCAATCGAAATTACATATCAGCAATGAAATCCGAAGGAAATGACGATAGTTTGCTACAAGGTAAGTGATATGGTGGATCTTAGCCGTAAAGGTTAGGGCTGGTGGCACTAAAGAATGTAGTTTGTCTGAACACTTTCAAATGGAAATAAGCACAGAGCGCCGAGAGGCTTGCAACGTTTCGTCTGCGAAAAAAAGGGGCTGTAAGGTGGGAAATAATTCATCACCCACAAGGACACGGAGATGCTTTTGGATTTTATCGAGGCTGAAAAATGAAGACTGGGCAGCACCAGTTCTCCATTTCGGCCTGATCTGGTTCTTGTAACGGTAGAGGATAGCAGGAGGAGTCAGGTACTTACTGCAGCGGTAGAGGGAACCGAAAATTTCTCCAGGATCCTTAGCGATGGATCTTATGTACGAGTACCACTAGAGATCTAGTGTGGGCTTAAGTCCTATTATAGGCGCTTAAGGTACGGGGCCTCTCTGGGGAAAAACCTGTTTCAGGGTCCGCTCGTTGATGAGTGTTAGCTGTTTTAGTACGTCATTTTAATACAATTATTGTTATGTCACGCAAACAATAATCACGACATTTTTAAAAAAAATAGCTATAAATAATCAACAGAGACATTTTATAGCCATCTGTCACTCATATTAATGCCAATTAAGATTGTTCGTACAGTTATATAAGTAGCGAAGTAATCGTTCTAAGTAACGTGGTGAATCCAAATAAGTACTACTTAATTTGTTGCTTTGAATCTGTAAAACAAGTTAAAAGAAGTCAGAGAAATATAGAAAAAGGAATAAAAGCCAAGATTTGAGTGAAAAAGAGAGAGAAAGTGAGAGAAAAAAAGAAAAAGAAGGAAGAAAAAAGGAGAGTGGGAATCAAAATAAGGGTGAAAAATGAGAAAGATAAGGAGGGAGAAATTAAGAGAAAGAGAGGAAGAACAATTAAAACAGAGAGAGAGAGAGAGAGAAAGTAATATAGCAGAATAGAACAAAAGAAATTACAGGGAAGGGGACGAATAGTAGATAAAGATGGATAGAGAGAAGGGTGAGAAAGATAAGTCAAAAGAGAGAGAGAGAGCGAGAGTGACTGAAAAAGAGAGAAAAAGCAAAGAAGAGAGAAAGCAATAGAAAGAAAACGCAACAAATGGGAAAGAAAGAAAGAGAGAAAGAAAGAGAGACAGAAAAAGAAAGAAAGAAAGAAAAAAGAAAGAAAGAAAGAGAAATGAAGGAAACCGAATCGTTGAGTGATAAAGAGAGGAAAAGCAAAAGTAAAAGTGAGGAAGAGATATTAAAAATGAGAAAAAGTGACAAAGGAACAAGATAATGAGGGGAAAAAAGAAAGAGAAGAGGGCGAAAGAGAGAGGAGGATAGAAAAAGAAAGATAGAAAAGTGCGAGAAAGAGAAAGAAAAAGAGAAAGAGAGAAAGCAACCGAGCGAGAACGCCATTTACTAAAAGGCTGAAAGAAAAAGATAAGGAATCGTCCTGCTGCTTTTCCTTTTCTAATGGTGATTTGCAGTCTGAATTTATTCATAAACCTCTGCTATAGTCAGTATTCCTGAAACACTCCATATCCTATCATCTCTTGAAAGTGGTATTATATCAAAGTCCCTTTTAAAAAGAAATATTCATACCACTTGTGCAATACTATCCAACAAAGGCCATCAAAATTAGTCATTTCTGCCTTCGGCTGTAACTAAACTTTAGATTACATCACTGGACAGTTATGGATTATCAATGTCTTGGTCAATGTAAAAGTTGAAGTCATAGTATACTGCAACCCATTGGCCTTGGCGCTTCTAACTGAAGGTCATTTGAAGTGGTTCTTCTACATAATAAATGCCAATGTTTGAAAACTAGGGGCGTTTTCTTCCTTACTTTGGTCCTTTAGTGGTGGAAATGAAGTTCCATTAAAAGTTTTAACTTAGAAGAAAACTACTTCTCAGGGCATTGAGTTCATTATCCACTGAACAGAAGATTAAATATGAATTTTATTAAACATCCGGGTAAGGCACTAATAGATAAAAAAAGAGAAAAAAAGAAGAGATACCCATTAAAAAAGACGTTATGCTTATTATCCTCCATAACGTATGTTTACAAAAGATAAAAAAATATATATATATCAAATGTACGTGCCTTCACAGAAAGTAATACCTAAGGTTTAAAATCAATTTTTAAAAATGAAAAATCTTTCTTGAAGGTTTTATTTTAGTTTTAATTTCATGCTAATAGATTAAATTTAATATTTCCAATAAGCAAAATACTTTGCTCTTTTTCAAAACTAATTTAAATTGACTGGAAGGAGTTTTCAATTTGAAATTGCTAATATCACTTATTTTTAGCCACCCGTCATCACGATGTACTTCTGTTTATTAAAAAGTCTTTCAAAAATAAAAAAAAATACTTTTCTGAAACTATCTTTGGAATATTAGCTGATTTAAAGTTTAATTAATCTATTTTGAAACAAATATTACTTACTCTATGTTTCAAATACCACAGAAATGCATTTTATAACACAGTAGCTGTTTATTTAAGGTGTTGACAGTTTGACAGACAAAAGTTTATCTATAGTTCTTCTCTGGAGGATATATCTTAGAGCTACTTAAGAAATATAACGTGAGCGTTATATCATTTTTAATTACCTAATAATTTTTAATTACCTAATAATTTTTAATTACCTAATAATCTTAAAAATGGAGGAAAATATTCTCTGCAATATAATGTTTTATTAAATTTTAGGTTCTTTGATTTTAAATTTCCTATAGTTATTGCTTTTATTTTCTGATTATGCCGTGTATGGACCAATGAGCACAAAAAAATCCCAAATTCCTTTTAAAATATTGTTGTTCGATGTACTAAGCTTTTCCATTTATGATTAGTAAATATAGTTTTTACTTAATAATAACAATATCACCTAATCTTGCATAATCAAAGGATCAAAAATATAATTTAATAATCCAAAAGTATTTCCTCTTAATTATAGTAGAAACTTTTGACGATAAACTTTGTTTTTATTAAGTTTTGGACATTTTTTATTATGGTGTGCGACTTTTTAGCGAATCAGTGGAGGTACTTAATCACATTTTTTAAGAAAACATGAAATTTCCAACATAGAACATACTTCTTAGAATTGGTAAACAAATTATAATTAAAAATTAGGAAACTGCTTATATTTTGAAAATGACCTAATTGCATTTCAATTTTTATGCTCCAAAATTAAACCAAAACATATCCAGTTCATTTTTTTATAAAATGTATCCAATTTCATTTTTGAAAAAGAAAGAAAATGTGAATAGATTTTCAATTTAATCACTAAATCCAAAGAATTAGAGAAAATATTGCCAGCCACGTATGTAAATGAAATAAATGATTATTAAAAGGAAAACTAAACACTTTTTGAAAAATTTAATTTTAATTTTTTTTTATGGAAAAACTGTCCAAAATTTAAAAACTAAAATATATATCCAGTTTATGTATTTATTTTGTAAGATGAACTCTGTTTAATGTTTTAAGAGAATGTATTAAAAACAACAGCCGACATAAAAATGATTTGAGTGTGACAGTTTGGACAAAAATATGAATAGCCTTTTCTGATTCGAATGCGCTTCGTGTTGTATGGACGAAGAGATATGAAACCAACAGATTATTATTAAAGAGATGACATTACACTACAAAAAGGAAATTAAGAAATTTAATTTTTTAAGTGTTGAATTTCTCTGGTATTTCATACACTAAAGTTTTCAACTTATTTGTGAAAGACAACTTGAAATCTTATGGTTCACCCACCTACCTGACAAGCTTCCTTTTTTTTCTTTCAGATGGGACTATTTTAATGTGTAAATTATTTGAGAAACACCACTACGAAATCGTCAACTTTGAAAATAAGTAAAATCGCTGTCATTGAAATAGTGATATTATTTAAACAGATTTGAAATAAAAATAAAAAACTCCTTATAACACAGGGGAATGAATTAATTCTTTAGAAAGGGAAACGGTCAAATTTCGTTTACATAATAATTTTATTCAAATATCCTTGAAAATAAACGACATACCAGCATTTGAGTAAATTTCCCTACTTTTACACGTTATCGCATTGTAAACGAGGGCTGTTTAAGATACATAATGTTATCGATAATCGTTTTTGATTACACGATTTGTTTTTACAGTGAGGTTCCCCTTTTATGAGGGCCACTCGAGGGAGAGGATTATGTTTGGAGGTCATTTATGTGTATAGGAGTGGAAGATAACGTTTAAACCCTAGCCTTGAACAGCTTAGGATTGTCATGATCGGGGAAACATCCTGTTGGGAGTCTCTTCCACGGTGCAGTGGTTCACGGGAAGAAGCTGCTCAAGTGGAACTTACTTCTCACCAATGGAATACGGAGAGAATGTGGGTGATGTAAGTGTCATGGCGTATTCTTGCTGCGAAGGTTTGCCATGGCGAGACCAGGGAATGTAGTTCGTCTGAACACTTTCGTGGAAGTAGGGGTAGAGCAGTGAAAGGCTTGGCACATCCCACTTATGGGAGAGAGGTTGAAGGGTGGAGAATAATTCGTCATCCACAAGGGCTCGGAGACGCTTTTTAAGTCTATCAAGGCTGGGGAGTGAGGTCTGGGAAGCTTCCGTCCAAATATGACAACAGTACTCCATCTTTGACTCTTGTAAAGGATAAGCAAGAGCAGTTAGGTACTGACTGGAGCGGTACAGGGAGCCAACCATTTTACCTGCATCCTTAGCAATGCATTGTATGCACGAGTTCCACTTGAGGTCAGATGTGAGTTTGAGACCTAACAGTCATTCAAGACACGGTGCTTCATCCTGATTGATGGTAGTTCGAGGTCAGATCAGCGATGATGGAATGTAACTAGTCCTCGAGGCATTGGATATAACCATTCAGTTATTATCCCATTGGGTAGTTTGTTCAAGATCGGAAGAGAGATTAGTCGCCAGTCACTGACCATCGTGAGTTTCAGAATGCGCTTGTATATAGTCGGCATATCATCGGCATAGGTGTTTATATAGGTGTTTACAAATGATCTGGGTATATTCTTAGGCAGATCATTTATGCAGATCAAAAAGAGAATTGGTCCGAGGAGTGAACCCTGGGAGATGTGCCGGGAGGACTGGCCATTGATAACTACCTTAAGTTGAATTCAGATTATTTCCTGATCGTGTAAGTTATTGAAATATCATTCAGAGTCCTTCTTGGAATTTTCTTGTGCATTGTATTTACCTGACTTACCTGTGAGAAATGAATTCGTGTATTTATAAAGAATATTAATTACTTCAACTAGAGTTTTAACTCGGTTTGCCAACTCTTTGGGTTATTAACCGTGAAGCCAACTCCTCACCTCCAAGTTCGTTATACACATTAATCTTTACAAAAGATCTCATGGATTAAAATACTTTCTTTGTATATTTTAGGAGCCCGTGCATATATCTTAATAAAATAAATAATTAACAAATAGAATCGAATAGAACAGAGGCACAACGATGCGGTGTTTAAATATAAAAAACCCAAAAAACTGTAGTGTTTCAAAAACAAAAGCAGATGAAATGCCTAAAATTGTAGGAATTTTAACAGTACAAACCAATGTTTCTCAAGCCCTTTTTAATTTTTTTTACTTCAGAGCGCACTTGTAGAATAACTGGGCCGCACTTTGAATTTTAATAAGGAAAAATTAATCATGAAATTTGAAAATATGAAATTTTGGTTTAGCATTCCCAAAGATAAGCAATACAGATTTCATTTAAAAGGATTTATGAACAATCTACTACTTTTTAGGGAGTCCGATAATGATTGATTTAAATCTCTTGAGGAAAACAAAAGGGAAGGATTATCCACTCCTTCTTAAAGATTAAGGAATTTAGCATCTTAAAATAACAAAGATTTGACTTAGAGATGGAAGCCATGTACATGGCGCCTCCAGCTTTTTAAAAATATAAATAAAAATAATTCATAAATTATTCTTCTGTTAACATGGGGGCACCTGGCTTCTTTTCAGGGAGCATTATTGCGCGAGGGCGTACCGACTGGAAAATGTTAGTATCGACAGACAATCTGGAAGAAGATGAATTCAAGGAGTGAATGAAAGAAAGACGCATTCGTGAGAAGTAAAGAAGAATGAATATGAGAAAATGCGTTATGGGCGTGAAGAAAAGAAAATGAGAAGATGTACTGATGAAAAAAAAAAAAGGAAGAGAGAAGAAACAAAAGAGAAAAGTAATGAGACCGAAAATAAGAAAGAAAAATGAAGGAAAGAAAAAGTTAAGAAGAAAACGCGAGTGAATAATAAAAAGGAGGAAAATAAATGAACGCGGGAGAATTAACTATTCGATAAAGAAATAATTGAAAAACAGAAAATTGTGAAAGGATATATAAACAAAAAGGAGGAGGAAGAAGAAAAGGAAAGAAGAGGAAGAAAAAGAAATAGCAGGGAAAAAGGGAAGAGAAAGAGAGAGAGAGAAAGAGAGAGAGGTGTACATATAGGAAAAAGAGTGTTAATAAGAGAAAAAAGAAAGCGGGAATGAAAGAGAAAGAAGAAAATAAATATTGATAAAATAAAAAGAGGTAGAGAATAAGTGTGAGAAGGACAGAAAACGAGAAAGAGAAGATAAGAGATAATGAAAAAGAGACAAATGAAAACTAAAATAAGAGACAAAGAAATAGGAAAGTATATAATAAAGAAAGAAAGAGAGAGAGGGAAGGAGATAATAAAGAGAAAAAAAGAAAGAAGAGAAAGGGGAAGTGACATAGTGAAGTGAGAAAAAGAGAAGGTTCTATTAACAAAGAAATTTACCGTAGCCCAAACACTAATACAAATACAGTCGTATTGGTCTAAGATCTAAACATTCTATTTTCTACGTCATCTTTCGGAATTTAGATTAAGAGAAAAGAAAGCAATGTTAAAAATTAAGATACGAAGAAGGCGTAAATAATCTGTGAATAGAAAAATCAAGTTAGTGTAGTTAGGCCGGCTGCACAGGAAGCCAAACGGG